ATCTCCATGGGATGGGATTTTCCTTGCGATGGGATGGGATCTTTTCATTAGTTGCCAAGTCATAGTTACATAGTTACATAGCTGAAAAGAGACTTGAGTCCATCAAGTTCAGCCTTCCTCACATATGTTTTTGCTGTTTATCCAAAAGAAGGCAAAAAACCCAGTCTGAAGCGCTTCCAATTTTGCTTCCAAACTAGGAAAAAATTCCTTCTTGACCCCAAAATGGCAGTCAGATATCTCCTTGGATCAAGCAGCTATTACCCCACTAATTATAAATGATATCCCTGTATGTTATGTTTTTGGAAGTATTTATCCAATTGCTGTTTAAACATCTGTATGGACTCTGATAAAACCACCTCTTCAGGTCTAGAATTCCATATCCTTATAGTTCTTACTGTAAAAAAAACCCTTTCCTTTACCTTAGATTAAATCTCCGTTCTTCCAGCCTAAATGTGTGACCTTGTGTCCTATGTATAACCCTGTTTATGAATAGATTTCCAGATAATGGTTTGTACTATCCCTGAATATATTTGTATAATGTTTTCAAATCCCCTCTAAGGCGATGTTTTTCCAAATGAAACAAATTTAAATTTTTTAACCTTTCTTCGTAACTAAAATGCTCCATTCCTTTTATCAATTTTGTAGCTTGTCTTTGCACTTTTTCTAGTGCCATGATATCCTTCTTTAGAACAGGTGCACAAAATTGCATAGCATATTCGAGGTGTGGTCTTACCAGCGATTTATAAGAGACAAAATTATATTTTCATCCTGAGAATTCATGCCCCTATTTATACATGACAAAACCTTATTGGTTTAAGCAAGTGCAGATTGACATTGCATATTGCTGCCTAATTTGTTGTCTATAACAATTCCCAAATCCTTCTCATGTGTGGTTATCCCCAATACACTACCATTTAGGGTGTAAGTTGCATTCTTGACCCCAAAGTGCATAACCTTGCATTTCTCTACAATAAATTTAATATGCTATTTCAGTGCCCAGTCCCCCAATCTATCTAAATCCCTCTGCAGCAAAGCAATATCCTGCTTATATTTTATTACTTTACAAAGTTTTGTGTCATCTGCAAACACTGAAACATGGCTTTCAATGCCTATTTCAAGATCATTTATAAATATGTTAAATAGAACCGGTCCCAAAACAGAACCCTGAGGGACACCACTTACCACTTTTGTACAGCTTGAAAATTTACCATTAATGACAACTCGCTGTACTCTATCCCTAAGCCAATGTTCTACCCAAGAACAAGAATATTAATCTAGACCAATTTCTTTTAGTTTGAAGACTAACCTATTGTGTCGCTAGATTAAGACTTTCAGTAGACATACCATAATCTGCCGCAACTATTGTCTAAGAAAAACATATATTTTTCACCCTTCTTTTTTTTTCTTTATTTATTTTTGGTGTGCTTTGATACATCATTGATATCTCACAGTTTACAAGAGTGCAAAGCGCAGATCGATACCCAACATAGTATAAGATAAACTTCCCATTTTTTACATAAAAACAAGAGTATCGTAATGCATATTAATGGCCACAGAGAAAAGGCATAGCAGAACAAATGAACTAAGAAACAAAATAGTGATAGGTAAATGAGAACAAGCAAATAAGCAGACATAGCTGCTAGTCTGAGTAGCCTGGTTCGCTCAAGAACATCAGACTATAAAGTACATCACAAAACCTCCCCCCAGACTTAGATAAAGGTTCACCTGCCAGTGAATCAGCTTCCGGGGCTGTAGCGGGCCAGTTACCCAGGGCTGGCCCAAGTCGGTATGGTGATGATGTGCAGCTCCCTGTTACATCGGAGGGGACTGCTGTTACGGCTTACGGGCCCTATTGATGTGCCTTCATGGTCTCCTAGGGCCTGCCCTCCACAACACATGGGAGTGTGTGTGTGTGTGTGTGTGTGTGCGTCAGCAAGTCACTGACTCTGAAGCCTTGCCCAGAAGTCCTCAAGAATCCAGTCCGGTGCAGTAAGGTCCGCCATGTTGGAGGTAGTGCCTGCAGTGTGGTTAAGCAGAGTGGTGTGTCCCCTAGACCTGCAAAACCAGAGGTCGATGCTGGGATCACCGTCACTGGCAGGGGGGAAAAGATAGGCTCATCTGGACCTTTTGCTTTTTTGAAGTCCAAGCGCTAAGGGATAAGCCGTCTCATTCTTTGTGCAGTAGGCCATAACCTTCCCAAGATCTGGAGCCCATGGACACCTGTGAGATATGGCATGTTTGTAACCTCAGGAGCCCACAATAGTGCACAGATTATTTTGATTGGGTACAAACATGAAAGGTCGGCTCAGTAGTCAGGCACTCTCTGTACAGGAGGATCAGTGCTTCCTCGCTGCCTGCAGTCACCAGCCGGCTACCAAGCAGCCCCACTGGACCCTAGGGAAACGAGAATCCACCCTAGCATTCCCAAAGATAACGAGGCTGGGGGGGATTAAATTAAAAAAAAATGTGTGTGTTAGTGTGTGTCTGTTAGTGAGTGTGTGTGTGTCTGTGTGCCTAGGGCAGCACAAAATCAGGATACACCACTAGTGAGGGGATGTGTCACCCTGATATACATATACTTTTTATATGTGTATGTTACATTTTATATGCTTCCAATAAATGTGAGCTTAATCCTTTTCCAATATAAAGTTCAGGTACAGTGCAACACGTAAATCATCTTGACAATAATAAAGCTAAACTGTTTTAAAAATAAAGTCTCTGGAAGAAGGCTCAACACAACATGACATAAACTAGAAGAAGTCTCAACTATTGCAGATCCTTTTGAAACAGTCTCAAAGAAGTATCTCACAAATATAAAAAAAGAACTCTTATAGCCCTATGAAGTCTCACAAGAAAACTGCAATATGAAAATGCAAAATATCACAACTAAGTCTTTTTCTTCTGTTTTAAAAGTCTTCAGTACCCGAGCCTCCTCTTCCTTCCAAGCTTGCAAGAACTTATGTCCCTCTCCAATAGTAGCAAGTATCATGTTTTTTTTCCTTCATGACAATATAACCATATATATTTTACTCCACACTGTCTCGATTCCACTGTCTCCTCAGTAAATCTGCACCACTTTATCAAAGTTACCGAAGATAGATCTTGAAAAACATGTGGGGGAACTAGAGGCAATACAAGAACAAAGAAATATGCAGACCGTCTCAATTATATGAATGAAACTTACTGCATTGACTGGAAAAAATATATCTATGTATAGCGCGATGTTCCAAATATAGAACCTGGCTATTAGAAATAATATGGTCAGAGACCCTAATTAAACAAAGTATATACAAGTGAACCTACAATCCTATGCCAGCCCAGGGTAGTATAGATCAAGAGGTAGTAAAAAAGATAACCTCACTCCCCCTTATAATTAAGCTTTATTGTGATCTGCTATAGGGATAGGAGTATACAGTAGCTAAGTCTCTATAATCCATGCATCCTAGGAAGTATCCTGGTCACACTAGAAACATATTAAGAAAAACAGAGAGAGATAAGGACTGAAAATAGAAGTAAAAAATCAGTCAAAAACAGACTGATAATTAGCATTAATAAAGCCTCTCTCCCTGTAAAGCTAGCTAGATAGGCATAGGAAAGAAAAGAAGAAAACGATATAAAATAAAGTTAAATTAAATGGTGATCATGGTGCTCCAAACACCAGTGCCCAGTGCAGAAAAAACGCCCAACGTACGTTTCGGTGCAGAGAGATGCACCTTCGTCAGGGGCCAACAGATAACTGAAGAGAAGCCTCTTAAATACCCCAATTGCCAGGAAGCATGATTACCTTGTAGCCAATGGAGTGTGGGGGTGTATACCTCCCCAGCTGCCTCTAATATCCTGGCTATTCCTCTGTGATTGCTAATGCTCATTCATCTGTATGAAGGGGAAATCCCTCAGCCGGTCACGTGACCTGTGATGTCATGCGTCACGTGACGTATCCGGCATTCTCCTAACGGGGCGTGGCTCATTCATCATAGTGCTGCAGTACCGCCCATCCGAGCCTCTCCTGTCCATCATCCTCACATGGGTTGATCCCCTGTGACAGATGGGCGGAGCTAGGTATTCTCTGTGTATGGAGAAACCGAAATTGTCCAAATTAAGGCTCAAATTGATAAGCTGCATATTGATAATGTATCATTCCAAAGTACCAATGTGTACTATATAGGATGTACAGAATCAGCTGAAAATATAAGGCAGTGCTGATTACATATTATTCTAATACTGAATCTATTAAAGATGTAGTAAAGAATATGAGAGGACACCCCAATAATAAGAGAAAAATTGAATGATAAGGGGTCCTGGGATGTTGTTAACTCCCACTCCCCCGTCCCAGGCAAGGATATATGATAATAAATATATTTAGTGTTCATAGGACCCATGCTAGGATGCAAAATTAACATGGTACATCCTGCCGCTATATCCTGTACACTGAGTCACTTGACAATATGAACCTCTGAATGACCAGATATGACTTAGTCCGTAAAATAAAAATAATAATAATAAGGCTAGCATTCTTTTTGTCAAGAGGTCTTTAAACTTATGGCACCTGAGGTTCCTAGTTGGTCTCCCATACAAGTACTAACCAGGCCCAAGTCTGGATGGCTTCTGAGATCTGACGAGATCAGGCATTTTCAGACTGGTATGGCCATTGATATTTTCATTCAAGTGCTCAGCAAGCTTGGTCTAGGAACATTATTGGTATTATAGTCATTATATAGCTATTTCCTTGGGAGAATTCAAGCATTAGCAATTTAGTGGTCCTCATCCGGTAATCATGAGAATAAATTTATATGATAAAAAATAATATAAAAAATAATAATAAATAGAAAAGAATAGTGATAATAGTAGTAATAGTAATAAGCAAAGGATATACCCATTGTGGAACAAACCGCGCTATATTTACAAATTTACAAGTGTATCAGGCCATAAGGCTCACTCAGAATAGATTAGTGCAGAGATCACCCGCCGAGTACCACTGCCCGTATATAGGTCTGAGTCCTCACACCTGGTATCAGTGATCTGCAATAAATGGTGTATATGAGAAACCTTCGTTAAGTCCCAAGGGTGACAGGGTTTTGAGCTTATAGATCCAGAAGCTCTCCCTTTGGAGTAGCTTCTTGTCTAAATCCCCCCCTCTTGGTCCCAAGGTAACCCTTTCAATACCACTAAATCTGATTCCTTCAGATGAGCCCCCATGATGTAGTTTCAAATGTTTAGAGATAGGGGTGTCGATTTGTCTTGTGGGGTTTACCGAATTGACATGTTCCCGTATCCTAAGTTTAAACATCCTAAAGGTTTTTCCCACATACAGTTTTTTGCACGAACAGGAAAGTAAGTAGATAAGCCCTTTGGACTGACAGTTAAAGAAATTCTTTACTTTGAATTCCTGTGTGCCGAGGGAGTCTGGGAATGTTTTGGAGGGTCTACGTATAAACCTACATGCCTTACATTTCCCACATTGATAGGTCCCTAAGACTGGGGACTTCAGCCATGATGTTTTCTGGGGTGTAGTCTTGAATGGCTAGGGACCAACATGTCCTTGATGTTGCGTCCCCTTCTTGCTGTTACTGAAGCCTTATGTGTGATTACCTTCCGTAAGTGTGGGTCTTGTTGTAAAAGGGGCCAGAATCTGTCCAAGATTTGCATCATTTGATGCCAGCCGGCATCAAAATTCCCTATACATCTTATGACTGCCTGTGATGGCTCTGGGTTATGTTCGATTAGAAGGTCTTTCCGATCTGACAGTAAGGCCCGTTTATAAGCGTGCTTTAAGCATCTATTCGGGTACCCCTTTTGTTTGAATTGGAGTTGTAAGGTCTTAGCCTTTAGTTTAAAATCATCCAATGTAGAGCAATTGCGTCTAAGGCGCAAGTATTGTCCAGTTGGAATCCCTTTCTTTAGGGAAGGGGGATGATGGCTAGACCAATTCAGCAAGTTATTAGTTGCCGTTGGTTTACGGAACAGAGTTGAGATGAGGGACCCTTCTTCTGTCAGCGAGATGGTGAGGTCCAGAAAATTAATTCTATTGCCACCAATTTCACTAGTCAGTTTGAGATTAATATTGTTGGAGTTAAGAGTGTGGACGAAGTCCAAAAACAGTTCCGAGGTATCTGTCCAAATGATAAACACGTCATCGATGTATCTTTTCCAGATTTTTATATGCTTTGTATATTTTACCATATGATCCGTGAATACCATTTGAGACTCCCACCACCCCAGGTGGAGGTTGGCATATGATGGGGCACAAGCCGTCCCCATCGCAGTCCCTCTCACCTGGTGATAATACTTTCCCTGAAAGGTAAAGTGATTGTGTGTTAAGATAAATTGCATCAGATCTTGGACGAATTTATTGTGTCTTAGTGATATTACTGGTTTACTGTCCAAGCTAGCTTTCAGATGTTCTAGTCCAACTTCATGTGGAATCGAGCTGTACAGGCTCTCCACATCAAGGCTACATAAAATAGCGTGACCACTAATTTTTGTTCCTTCGATGATACTTAATGTGTGTTTCGTGTCTTTAAGATATGAAGGAAGTTGAGTGACTAGTTTCCTCAGGATCTGATCCACATAAAGACTGATGTTTTGAGTCAGATTACCTCTACCAGAGACTATGGGTCTCCCATTTAGTACCGGTTGTTGTTTGTGTACCTTTGGGAGTGCATAGAAGGTGGCAGTGGCGGGATTCTTGACAAACATAAAATTATATTCATCCCTGGAAATTAGAAGTTGAGATAAAGCTGTATCAAGGATTATTTTCAACTCTGCCAAGTATTTTTTAGTGGGGTCACCCTTTAGAACTTCATACGTATTGCTATCCCCAATTAGTCTTTGTACCATTGAGACATAATCAGGTTTGTTTAGAATGACTGTATTGCCCCCTTTATCGGAGGGTTTAAAAATAACCTCATCCAGTTCTTTAAGTTTTTTAAGAGAGATATTTTCTTGAGGAGAGATGTTGCTATTAGGTTGGATTGGAAGGTCTTTTAAGTTGATTTTTTCAATTTCATTGCATGTCATCTCCACAAATAGGTCTATATATTTAAAATCCACTAAGTGTGGAGTGAACATGCTTTTCTTTTTTAGATGTGTAAAGGGGGGATATCTTACTTCGGATTCGTCATTCGCAATAAGGAGGTCAAGTGCACCCATATCTGAGACTTGTAAACCAAGATCTTTTGCCCTTTTTTCCTCTTTCATATAGTGAAATTTATGCAGAGCCAGTTTTCTAGCAAACAGGTGTATGTCCTTTGTCCAGCTAAACTTATCGAAGTCTGAGACTGGGACAAAGGACATACCCCGCTGTAAAACCTGCAACTCTGCTTGAGTCGGAGTGTATGAGGACAAATTGATGATCTGGTTATTTACAGTTGTCTTATCTAATATCTTTTTCTTCCCCTGAAGTGTTGGGGTGGTCTGCCTCTGTACCTTGTCCGTGGGGCTGTACTTTCTTCCATATTGGGTTGGCCTAAAAAAGAGACCCCTCTTTTTAATATACTTTTTGAATTGCGTTCTGATGAGACAGACGTACTCGCTTTAGAGGAATCTGAGTCTGAACCACTCGTCTCATATTCTGACGTTGATATTGGTTCAGAGAAACTCCTTCTTGGATTCCTATTCTTTCTATAAACATTACCACTTTTAAAGTCATTATTGTCTCTGATGAATTTGGAATGTTTCCGAATCTTAATATTTTGTTGGAATCTATCCAAATTGCTCTTAAGTTTTGTCAAAGTTAGGTTCCCCTTTAAAAGCTGCAATTCTGTCTATCTGCTCATCCACTTCTTTATTAACCCTTTCCAGTCTTTTAGTTTCAAATTTACAAAGGATTTCCATAAATCTCTTGGAACATGTGCCTGCAGCTTCCTCCCTCTCTTTTGTAAATTCATCCTCCTCAATATGGGAAGCTGGTATGTTCTGTACCCTTAATCCCCTCGGAATTAGATCTTTTTTAAGGTAATTGTCCAGGGATGCAATTTCCCACCCTGTTTTAATTTGTTGCTGAAATAAGTTAGTCAAATGGTTAAACGATGAGATGATATTATCACTATCTGTAAGGCTTGTAAGATCCTGTTCTGAAAAGACTTTATCCGTATCTTTACACCAGACGTCTCTTTTTGACTTATCGAATAGAAAACTGGCCATGATACACAAACTGGTACTGTGGTATTAAAACCAAATTATTTACAAAAAAGAGAGCAAGGAACACAACGTTCCAAGTCCCTGTATAGCCGCCGCACCCACCACCTCAAAACCTCCCCAAAAGGGGGGCAGTGGCTGCAGGGGTCACGCAGAGACCAACGTACCAGTATGAGACTCCAGCTGTCTCAGAGGGGCTTAACCCCAAATATAAACACAAGAACAGAGAAATATACAGACCGTCTCAATTATATGAATGAAACTTACTGCATTGACTGGAAAAAATATATCTATGTATAGCGCGATGTTCCAAATATAGAACCTGGCTATTAGAAATAATATGGTCAGAGACCCTAATTAAACAAAGTATATACAAGTGAACCTACAATCTTATGCCAGCCCAGGGTAGTATAGATCAAGAGGTAGTAAAAAAGATAACCTCACTCCCCCTTATAATTAAGCTTTATTGTGATCTGCTATAGGGATAGGAGTATACAGTAGCTAAGTCTCTATAATCCATGCATCCTAGGAAGTATCCTGGTCACACTAGAAACATAGTAAGAAAAACAGAGAGAGATAAGGACTGAAAATAGAAGTAAAAAAATCAGTCAAAAACAGACTGATAATTAGCATTAATAAAGCCTCTCTCCCTGTAAAGCTAGCTAGATAGGCATAGGAAAGAAAAGAAGAAAACGATATAAAATAAAGTTAAATTAAATGGTGATCATGGTGCTCCAAACACCAGTGCCTAGTGCAGAAAAAACGCCCAACGTACGTTTTGGTGCAGAGAGATGCACCTTCGTCAGGGGCCAACAGATAACTGAAGAGAAGCCTCTTAAATACCCCAATTGCCAGGAAGCATGATTACCTTGTAGCCAATGGAGTGTGGGGGTGTATACCTCCCCAGCTGCCTCTAATATCCTGGCTATTCCTCTATGATTGCTAATGCTCATTCATCTGTATGAAGGGGAAATCCCTCAGCCGGTCACGTGACCTGTGATGTCATGCGTCACGTGACGTATCCGGCATTCTCCTAACGGGGCGTGGCTCATTCATCATAGTGCTGCAGTACCGCCCATCCGAGCCTCTCCTGTCCATCATCCTCACATGGGTTGATCCCCTGTGACAGATGGGCGGAGCTAGGTATTCTCTGTGTATGGAGAAACCGAAATTGTCCAAATTGAGGCTCAAATTGATAAGCTGCATATTGATAATGTATCATTACAAAGTACCAATGTGTACTATATAGGATGTACAGAATCAGCTGAAAATATAAGGCAGTGCTGATTACATATTATTCTAATACTGAATCTATTAAAGATGTAGTAAAGAATATGAGAGGACACCCCAATAATAAGAGAAAAATTGAATGATAAGGGGTCCTGGGATGTTGTTAACTCCCACTCCCCCGTCCCAGACAAGGATATATGATAATAAATATATTTAGTGTTCATAGGACCCATGCTAGGATGCAAAATTAGCATGGTACATCCTGTCGCTATATCCTGTACACTGAGTCACTTGACAATATGAACCTCTGAATGACCAGATATGACTTAGTCCGTAAAATAAAAATAATAATAATAAGGCTAGCATTCTTTTTGTCAAGAGGTCTTTAAACTTATGGCACCTGAGGTTCCTAGTTGGTCTCCCATACAAGTACTAACCAGGCCCAAGTCTGGATGACTTCTGAGATCTGACGAGATCAGACATTTTCAGACTGGTATGGCCATTGATATTTTCATTCAAGTGCTCAGCAAGCTTGGTCTAGGAACATTATTGGTATTATAGTCATTATATAGCTATTTCCTTGGGAGAATTCAAGCATTAGCAATTTAGTGGTCCTCATCCGGTAATCATGAGAATAAATTTATATGATAAAAAATAATAT